TCTTACTCCCTTTCCCTGCCCAAATTATATGAAATATAATATATGCATGGTTACTCAGAAATAAGTTTCGTTGAACTTAATGTGGCTGATTCCCAAGTATGTATATAGGGCAGCCTTCCCTGATCTGAGGCCCTTGGGATGTTTTGGATTACAACTCCCATCAGTCTCAGCCAGCATGGCCCAATGGTTAGGGATTATGGAAGATACAATCCAAAATTTATGGAGGACACTAAGTTGGGGAAAGCTGATTTAAAAGATTGCAGCTTTAGTACTTAATTACTACCAAGAACACCTAACTGAGATGGCACCACCTGAAATTGTTCTTCCCTTATGCTCTTGTTCCTCTGTATTTCCTATTAGATATTTCCCACTAAGATTAAAAGCCTTCATTGAACTACTACACTATCAAACACCAGCACCAGCAAGCCAATTCATCGTGATAATCTCCTGCTTGAAAGCAAACACACCCAACACAAAGCAGACACAACCACCCATTGCATTTCAGGAGGTCCAAATGCATAACCAGGCCACAAGGATGTATCTTATGCTTGTGAAATTTTTGGATAGGCTTACCTGTGTTGCTGTATAACTACATGGAACTCTGGACGTATCAGTGAAAACATAGAATATAAGATTAGATTCCTGAGCAAAGTCCAAACAGAGAATAACAATGTGCAAGAAGATTACAGAAACAAAATTGGAACAGGCAAGGAATAAAATATTACCTATGGAGAATAAGAAAGCAATAAGTATCATAAGGTGTTTTCTATGAGATGAACTACTGGTTGGTTTTCCAATCATCACTATGCACCATAGCTTTTGCCACCCTATTGATGACATCTCATTTTAAGCTGCAACAAAAACTGAGTATCCTCACAGCAGAAAAAACATATTTCTCATTTCTTGTAGGCATTATCTTGTGTGGTTCAACAATTATGCACGTGGTTTTGTTTTTTTTACTGACACAGCTTCTCTTTCATCCTATTGTTTCTTTCTCCCTCTTTTCAATGCAATTTAAAAGTAGAGAAAATAGATATTCCATTTGGATTTGAGTAAGTTTGCTTTACTCAATTTAAGAAAAAAATAACTTTATTGTTTGTAGTCAGTAAAGGCATTGTCACTAAAAAGAGAGAGAACGGGGTCATTAGTGGCTAATGATAATTACAAGGAAGAAGTAAATGAAATATCTCCAGATGGCTATTCAGCTATCTTTTCCTTTTGTCTTGCTTATATTAGTTATCTATATGAACGTACAATACAGAAACCCTGCCATGTTAGTCTTGAAATTCATCTCTCATTTGTCAGCATGTTTATTTCAGAGTCATTTAGCATTATTAAAATTCCACAATGTCTTAAAAGCATAGAAGGATATCAAAGGTCTCTGGGGAGGGGAAAAAACAAAACCATTGCTCACAAAGGCAACCTCTGGAGTCTTCTACTTACTCTCTGATGTCACATATATTTGTTATGTCAGCAGCAAACACAGAATCCAACAAGACCTTGAAAGAGACCTGTCGCCACGATGCATCCATTCCATCAGATATTTGCTTCACTGTGGGGGCTCACTGGAAAGTCAGGACCTAAAAGACTAGTGGCCAATCCTGGAAGCCATGTCATGGAGGAGCAGTAGAGGAAGCACAATATATCATGCTTCCATTCTCCCTGATTCTCGTCCTGTACCTCCCCTTGCAGTGAAATGCATGAGCTGCCTCTGGAGCTCAGAGGTTCAAATTCCAGTTTGATATTTTGAGAGGAAACATAGAAATAAGAAGTGTGAATTGTGTGTGCATCCTGTCAACCCTCTCCCAATTTTGTAGCATCTAGAGCCACTCTTAAGGGCAATTCACACTAACTCAACAAGGGTACAGGTGGAATTTTCTTCATGAAATCTTCCCACCCTGCTCCAAGAACTTCTGGATACAGGCACCTTCTAGGTGGGGCCAATTAGACAGCTCTTTCCTTCCTGGCTGTTCTCCTCCTTCTTTGCTGGGTGATCAGCTGTGGAAGAACCAGCTGTAGTGCTATTATCTAAATGATCCCTGAGAAGTGTGGGGAGAAGTTTCGGATAAGCAGCTGTCAAGCTGCTCTTATGTGTGAATTGGGCCTAATGGCTCGTTCTTACATTATTCAAGTAGAATTGTTACTGTTCCCTCATGGCTGTTTCCCATGGTGCTCTCATACTCTAAGACTATGTGGGAAGGACCAATAGCATGATTGATTCCAACATTAAAGTTGCCCACCCCTGGCCCTTTCCTCTGTTATGTTAATGGTCTAATGTTGCGTTATCAGTGGTGTGGGGATATAGATGGATAACAACACCACCACACCATAACGTAAGAACATGCTGCATCATCATGAATATACTAGGATGGGATGTAAAAAGAATTTTGCAGATACAACTGTACAAAGTGTAATATAGGTATATATGCTGGTTTGATACTAAATGATGAGGTTGAACATACCATCTACTGATGTTGAGAAAATTTATATATATGCCCCTACCTTGATTTGAATACAAAGCTGTAAATGAAATGACACAACCTATATTATTGCCTTCAAAATCCCATGGATTTAGAATGTGTGTGTGTTGTGTGTGTGTGGTTGATCCCTTAAATACCTCAAAACTGCCTTGAAATCTTAATTGTAGGCAATATGACTTCTTAGGCTCCTTATATTCATTGAGAGATCAGATTTTGGGGGAGGATATTGTTATTCTATAGATGTGTTTCATGGAATTGATAAATCTTTTCTATAATTTCCTGATCCTGTTGGACTCCAACTCACACAAGTTGCAGACAGCATGGCCAATGGCCAGGGATGATGGAAGCTGTAGTCCAGCAACACCGAAAGGGCTAGAGGTCCTCCACCTCTGTACTAGAAAGTTGGGATGGTCAACAAGAATCGGATTCTCCACCACCTCAGTTGGTCATACCAGCATCATATCACATTGCAATAGCAGTCCAACTCCCACAGCCCCTTTTGCAAGATCTCAAGAGGAGAAACAACAACAGCACTAGCAATTTTATCACACACGTAACTAATCCTAGTCTGCAGTCCTCTTCTGCCCACAATGTATTCACTCTCATTGTGGGTAAAGGCAAGACAACCAAAGTACAAAAATGGCAACAAGGAACAGTTAAAGCAATCATGAAATTATAAAGAAGAACTGAGTGATAGACATTCATGGATTTTTGCTTTTACCTTTAGGACAGCCAGTTCACACAGTAATATTTGCCCTGCTGTTTTACTTGCACGCTTGACCTCAGGGATGCAATTGGGAGAAGAGAGTGCCATGAAGCTGTGACAAGTGTGTCTGTTTCACAGCAGTTTTCAAGATGCGGGGAGTTCTTTTTCGAAGCATTATGGTCACAGAACTCCCTGCAAAGTTTAACTTTGCCTATCACCAGTTCCCAATTTATTCTTTTCCACCAGGGCTTTTCTTCATAGATGGCAGCCATTTTCAGATCCGATGATTCTCGGGAGCACCTGTATCTCACTGGAGCCATCTTACTGCTTATATAATCGATTAAAATGTATGCCAAAAACACAACCACCTTTCCACATTATGTGCATTTTTCGTCTTGTGTTGTGTAACTGGCATACAAATTATTGTGAGGTATTAAAAACACACACAAGAAATGCTCTTAAAATACACTGGGTTTTCTTATATTTAATGTATGACATATCTTTTGCAAGCAAGCTCTTTGCTCTTACACCATCCTGGAGTCTGAAATGGTGCCTCTAGGGTTTTGTTCTTCACGCGATCAGGCTGCCAGGGGTCATTTCTTTGAGAATAATAATAATAAAAAAGCAGCAAAGGACTGTATAGACCAGCCCAGTGTTTCTTCTAAATACAAAATGGACAGTGGCTTGAAGTTTGGCAGTAATTTGGCCTTGTGGAAGCTATTGAGTGGGGAAGGGCTTTTGTTGAGTGGCATTCTCATCCATAAATAAAACTCTGATGGCACTTCACTGGAAATATGGCAGAATGCATTAACCTGGTTCTTTATCCCAGCACACTGACATCTTAACAATGGATAAGAAATTAAAACAGAGGGGTGAGTGGGAGAAAGAACTGTCATCCAGTGTTGCCAGTGTTGGTGCCAACCATGACTAGGAAGTTGGACCTTGGACTCTTATAGTAAAGGGGTCCAACGTGATCTCACAGATACTTTAAAAAAATATTCCATTCTATATCAAAAGTAGGCACATGCCTTTCTTTCCATAAAGAGAAGAGCAAGGGGGACACAGTAAATTCTGCCTGCCTCGACAGTTTCTCTCTGGTCTTTGATGTAACGTTAGGCACAAGCCACAGCATCTTTCATTGGTGACTACAGAGGTCTGATTTGGGAATTTGGCTGTAGTTATGGAACAAGTGACATCACACTTGGGTCAGTTACTGTGGAAGGAACAAAAACGTCTCATTTGTATTGCTTTAAAATGTACACAGTTAAATATGTATATTAAAAAAAATACAGTAATACATTAATCTTGTGGTGTCGAATCAACTAGAAGGTATGTATGATGCGAGGATTTAGCAAATGAGATCTATAGATACAAATTTCACTGCAGAGTTATGTTGTAGACAAACGTCTCTCTCTCTCTCTCTTTAAATATGTAAATCCTACACTGTAGGGTTTTTTTCCCTTAATTTTTTTATTTTTGTAGTGGTAGAAAATGTTTTGAACACTTGTCCGTGAACATGAGCCGACAGTTTGTTACTGAGATCCTCAGAATGGCAAAAAATTTGCAATGCAAACAATTAGTACTGTATGCCAACTCTGCAAAAAAGCCCTAACACACACACACGCAGCCTCAAAACAAGAGGCTTTGCTGTACAACCTCAGATAGTCTTCCTGGTTTCCATGTACCGTTTGACACCGCGACGGCCGAGAGCCTCTAGCATGGCAATTCCTAGATACCAAGCTTGTTGGATTGGTCAGAATGCCACAGGAGAGGGGGGCAGGGGAAGAATTAATAATTCTAGCAGCACACAACCATCAAATCATTTTCATATTGAACCTGCGTGGTCCCGGGACCTCCCCTTCCACAACCGCACCATTGTTCTTACGGGGGACGTACTCGAGGTCAATGTTGGTTTTATGCTTGCCTTTCCCTCGGCTCCACACAAAAAGTAGTAAGAAACAAAATAAAACCACCCCGAGGAATGTGAAGCAGCCCATGGCTGTCGACACCAGTATTGTCTTAAGGTCCAGGGAAAATGTATTCATATTGGTTCCATTGGAACTGGTGTCATTGGAATCTGTCATGTACATAGGAGTCCTGTTGGCATAAAGGAAACGATCCGAGGCAAACCCTTTGACGGTTAGGGTGGCTGACAAGGTGTCGTTCCCAGCAGCGTTGCTGGCCACACAAACATAGATCCCGCTGTCTTGATCTTGGGCAAACCGGATCTCCAGGGTGCCATCTCCCAGCACCGTAGCTCTCCCATTCGATTTGGTGGTGACCAGTCTCCGTCGCGGCGTCAGCCAGGCGACGGTGGGCTGAGGATCGCCATCTGCACTGCACTGTAGTTGCACTGTTTGGCCTTCCTCGATCACCAGGTATTGCAGCTTCTTGTCGCGTATCCTGGGCTTCTTGCAGGTGAAGTAGAAAGAAAGGGCGGTGCTGTGGAAGTCTTTGAAGGGCCTCTCTTTGACGCTGTCCGGGCCGGCGCACATTGGCTGCTGGCCTCCAAACTGCAGCGTGGGCTGCCTTTGTAAAATCCAAAGCAAGCGGCAGTCACAAGCCAGTGGGTTGTTGCTTATGCAGAGGATTTCCAGGGCTTTGGTGGAGTGGAACGCGTTCTCTTCAATGGTTTCCAACAGGTTTTGGGACACATTAAGCACCCGAAGGAACCGGAGTCCTTGGAATGCGTGGGGTTCGATGGTACGCAACTGGGCCCCAACTATGTGGAGCTCTTGGAGGCGCACCACATCAGCAAGCATGTCCGACTCAATGGTGCTGATGGGGTTGTAGGAGAGATTCAGGTGGGTCAAGTAAACCAGGTGCTTCAGGGCAGAATAAGGGACAGTGGACAGGTTAGTATTGGTGATGGAGAGGGAGGTGAGGTTCAAGCCATATAGGCTGTTGATAGGGATCATGTCCAGCATAGGCCAATAGTCTATTTCTAGGTTTTTCAGGTGGAACAATCTCTTGAAGGCATATGCAGGCAGAAGGTTAATATTGAGATGTCTCAGGTGTAGACTGATGAGGTTGTGAAGGTGAGAAAGGGCTTCTGTTGGTACAGCTGTTAGGTTGCATTTTTCCAGAGTTAGCTGCTCCAAACTGAGCAGCCCACTGAAGGCCCTGTGAGAGATATAAACCAGATCGTTATCCCCAACCTCGAGGGACTTGAGGTTGTGCAGATCCTGGAACATGTAGTCCAGCAGAATGACAATCTTGTTCTCACTGATATCTAGCTTTGTTAAGTTTGACAGCCCGGTGAAGACCCCTAAAGGGACCAGCTTCAGACGGTTCCCTTTCAGCCGCAAGGAGCGCAAGTTAAACAGATTGTTAAAGGCTCCAGGCTCGACGTTGGCAACGATGTTGTCGCTGAGATCTATCTCCTCCAGCAGAGGGAAAGCTGTGAACTCCTCCGGGTTGACACTTTTCAGCCTGTTCTTGCTAAGATCCAGGATTTTCGTCTCAATGGGGATGCCCTCGGGGATGGCAATCAGGCGCCTCCGGTGACAGCTGACAGACTTGTTCTGTGCTGAGCACTCACAGCGGGCCGGGCAGCCTATGGTGGAGCCCATGAAAATTAGCAACACAGCCAGACCTAGAAATGGCTGCCAGCATGATATGGCTGTGTGAAGCATGACTCCACTGATGTTGTCTAATCCTCCGTCACAGGCCTGCCAAGACAGAGGGGAAGAGAGAAGAAAACAAGAGAGTTAGCTTAGTTTAAGGAGAGTCTCACGCTAAGGCAAATCCCATTCATTTTCAGTTAAAACAACTGCAACAAAGCTTATGAACCTGTTTTCCCAAGCACATACACCCAGTTTTCCCTTGTTTTCTTTTATTTATCCCCCCCAATTTTATATATTTATTTAGTTTAAGTAAGTAGTACAGAAAAACAAAAACAAAACAACAACAAAGAAAAAGATTGAAAACAATCCAAAAACATTGAAAGCAAATATTACATACTTATCATATAATACTCTCCCCCCCACCTGCAGCTTCCCTCCGCCACAATTCAACTTCTTTGAATCTCTATTTCCACCTTTATCTTTGCATTATCCAAATGTATCATTTCTTTTTTCTCTTCTCTTTTCCAAAGCATACATATACTTTACATTTTTATACTAGGCATAATGTTTAATATGAGTAAAAGATTGGATTACACTGGAGAAAACTAACATAATGTTTAATAAACATTATTTAGAACAAGTATAAATCGTTTACTCCCTTGTTCTCTTTTAATGGCAATGGCACCCACTCGAGAGGTGCCGGAACGGAGTTCCACCGAGTTCCGGCTAAAAAAAAAGCCCTGGTTTTCCTGAAGTTCAGGAATGCACCTAAAGATTGGTTCTTCCATTTTCTCCACAACTGATGTCTGAACTGAACATGTGGACCAGAAAAGCCTTACACGGTCAGGTGACCTCCCAATCTTATTGGGACTTTCATCTCTCATCAGGCTCAGCCAGGATGGCTAATGATCAGGAATGATGGGAGTTGTAGTCAAGTCCAAGCAGGGGAAAGGTTTAACAATAGTTTACACCTTTCCCCCCTATTTTACTTTTTTTGTGTAGGCTGTTGACAAGTCAGGATTGTTGCTTGTAGTAATTCATAATGAATTAAGATTTTTCAAAATAAAATAATACAAAGCAAAACAATGCTATGCATTCAAAAGTATGTCACATGTATTATCTTATATTAATACTTATAACGACCCTATAAGGTAGGTCAGTGTTATTTCCCCCATGTTACCGACCAGTATTGGAAATCAAGAGAGAATGGCTTGCCTAAAGCACCTTACTGAGTTCACAGCCTGACGAAAGAAGAATGGCAGACAAAATTAATGGACTATGCAGAATTGGATAAAATGACAGGAAGGATTCGAAACCTGCGGGACCAGAGATTTACAGAAGATTGGAAGAAATATATGAACTATTTGAAGAGCAGCTGTAATCAACAAATTACGCTAGTAGGACTACAAGAAGTTTTGTAGGGAGAAATATATGAAATATTGCAAAGAAGAGAAAGAAGAGAGATACTAGTTATGAGATTTAAAAGTAATAGTGAAAATAAGAAATGTAAATTAAGTGAATAGATTGGAAAATTTTCAGATGCGATTGATGGAAGTCAAAAAAACTGTATAAGATGTAAAAGTATGTTTAATTGTGGTTCGAGGACCCGACCCCCGCGATGTGAAATAAATACACAAGGACACGTTATATAAGGTTAATGGGCAAGAAAAGGCCACAACTTTATTGATTACAGCAGTGAAAAGGTATTGGCTTAGGCATTGGATGTCTAAAACAAGGGGTTTATTCACCAGTAGGTGGAGCCTGTTGATGCTAATCCAACTATAGGCTCTCCCCTGATGTCACCGGGGTCGTGCCATGGCCTCCCGCCAAGCAGGCATCGGACAGAGTACACGACCGCCAGATTCCTTTAACGGAATACCCAAAAATTGAAGGCATAGGCGATGGCCACACCCAGCCCTTCGACACACCACAACACATTATTCCAATGCCTAACCTACCCACCAATACCACAAAAAGTTGTGACGATTGCTACGAGGTAGGCGAAAAACTAATGCCAAATGGAAAAATTCCTACCAGGCCCCCTAGACAACCAGGGCGACCAACCTAAGGTCCATAGCAAGGCCAAAGAACAAAGACCCTGAGCTAAAAGGGAGTGGAGGGTGGGTGACTCGCGACGAGAGGACGGAGAAGAATGAGGCCGAGGAGAGGCTGGCGCCGCCGCAAAAGGCTGCTGAACACGCCCCCTCGAAGGCACCTGGTTGGATGCCTGCCGAGGGGGCGTGGGCGCCAGCCAGGTGAGAGGAGGAGGCAGGGGGCTAATGCCCCCTGCTAGGGGCGGTGCTCGGGCTCCCGCCCACAACCACTCCCCTCTCTTCCAGGGAGGAGAGTCTTTGTGGTTCGAGGACCCGACCCCCGCGATGTGAAATGAATACACAAGGACACGTGATATAAGGTTAATGGGCAAGAAAAGGCCACAACTTTATTGATTACAGCAGTGAAAAGGTATTGGTTTAGGCATTGGATGTCTAAAACAAGGGGGTTTATTCACCAGTAGGTGGAGCCTGTTGATGCTAATCCAACTATAGGCTCCCCCCTGATGTCACCGGGGGTCGTGCCATGGCCTCCCGCCAAGCAGGCATTGGACAGAGTACACGACCGCCAGATTCCTTTAACGGAATACCCAAAAATTGAAGGCATAGACGATGGCCACACCCAGCCCTTCGACACACCACAACACATTATTCCAATGCCTAACCGCCACCCGAGCCAATAAGGCTCGCCGCCAATACCCTCACGGCTGTAACCAATCCCTAATGCTGCTGATGACACTATCTAGCCAAATGTCGTTCCCCTGGTCTGAGAGATGCACCCCGTCATTCCGGTATAAGGCCCGGTCGCCGATCCGGATTTGGTCATGATAAATGACTCGGCCATTCATGAAGCGCACCCAACGGGCCACTGCCCGATTTACGAGTTTCCTGGTTTTTTCAGTGGCCATACAGCTCAGCGCACCGCGCCAAAAAATTCTCTTCAGGAAGGAGGACCAGAACACCGTTGTTCTGGGGCACAAGGCAGCAAACGCATCCAAGTCTCTTTTTATATTCCACAAGGAGGAGAGGCTGGCGCCGCCGCAAAAGGCTGCTGAACACGCCCCCTCGAAGGCACCTGGTTGGATGCCTGCCGAGGGGGCGTGGGCGCCAGCCAGGTGAGAGGAGGAGGCAGGGGGCTAATGCCCCCTGCTAGGGGCGGTGCTCGGGCTCCCGCCCACAACCACTCCTCTCTCTTCCAGGGAGGAGAGTCTTTATTGTTGAAAATGATATGTTGAAAAACTAATAAAAGATTTATTAAAAAAAAAGAGTTAGCAGCAAAGGACAGATACGACCTGTATACTGGATTTCCTGGTTCATTCACTGATTTTGCTCCTTTTTTTTTTAAGACTGCCTGTCTGCTATGCAGCACTCAATAGAAGCTTGCAATGATTAAATATAAAGCAATGAATAACACATTCAACATGAAGGCATTACATTATAATTATGCTTACAGTTGAGAAAGTATAACAAAAATGTGATGGGTCATTTATTTCCTCGCCATATCCATCCTTCTTGCCATATCCATCCTTCCTCCTGCATGTGCAGAATTCTCCGACTTCTGCCTTAACTGGCCCCTTCCCATGCAAACTGGCCCCTTCCACATGCATGCATTACTGCACATATACCCTCCAAGTGTCCCTATTTTCCAAGGACAGTCCCAGAATTACACAAGCCACCCCAGCTTCTGATTTGATCCAGGAATGTCCCTATTTCCCCCTCCGAGCTTGTGCTGGTGCTTGTCCTGAGCAGCAGCTGCGAGGGCGAATCCTGTTGCCTGCATATGGCTGCCACTGCCAACCTCCTCCCTTGACTATTTGATGTACCTTTGGGGGCAATTAATTTGGTATGTATTTATTATTGGTTGTTTATATGCAGGCCTGTCAATTCAACCTCTGTACTGTATTTGAATGCAATAGATTGAATTTTATAATCTTTCCAGCTGATGAAGAATTAGCATTGAAACAGTTCATTATCCTGGAAGAGCTGTTCTCTCTGCTGCTGTGCTCGGAACACCCTTTTGTAATGTTTGGAAGCACCTACCATCTTACTTCTGTGCTGCTTTTCTCAGCAGCGGAAGAAGCAGCTCGGGTGCCAGGGGCAGGACGAGCCGCCCATAGGGGCGGGGCGCACCGTGGGGCCTCCAGAGTCTGCCTGCTTCCTCCTACTCAGCCGCCCTACAGCTGGGGGGTGGGGGGTGGGCAGTGGGCGGATCATTTGTGCTGCACGGAGCCTGCACACGCCTTAGTCACCGTGTCTCTCCCAGGAGAGACGTGTGGCTCAGGTGCACTGCAGACCCCACGGTGAGTGCTGCCTGGCATTTTGTCACCCACCTCAGTCAGGCGGTCCGCAAGGGGCGGTCCGCACCCACCGCACCCCTTACTCCGCCCCTGGCTGTTCCTATAGCTCCACTGTGCTTCAGCTCATTCTCAACAACATTTTGGATATGGTATTTACTGTGGAAAGGCATTCAGCCTCAATTTCAGTGATTTTTTATAGTGACATATCATTCTAATCATTCTGCTTATGGAATAGTAGTAGTAGTAGTGGTAATAATAATAATAATAATAATAATAATAATAATAATAATAACAATAATTTTTTAATACCCCGCCCATCTGGCTGAGTTTCCCCAGCCACTCTGGGCGACTCCCAATCGAGTGTTAAAAACAACACAGCATTAAATATTAAAAACTTCCCTAAACAGGGCTGCCTTCAGATGTCTTTTAAAAATAGGATAGCTGCTTATTTCCTTGACATCTGATGGCAGGGTGGGTGCCACCACCAAGAAGGCCCTCTGTCTGGTTCCCTGTAACCTCACTTCTCGCACCAGAAGGCCCTCAGCACTGGATCTCGGCTCTAGTTACTTGACTCTTATTAGTTTGTGAGTCCCTGCACATATTACATGTCCTCTGTTTATGAATTTTGAAACAGTTTGATAGTGTTATATAAATATTG